TCCCTATATCCATTCGTCTGTAATTCTGAACTCACAACGGCCAGCAAACTACTAGCAAAAATGACACTTACAGGAGGCCTTCCTGCCAAGCAGGTGACACAAGTAATTGGAATGTCATAGTTGGGTAACCTGCTTCCATACTGGGTATCCTTTTTGCATCCAGGCCTGCGCAAAAGAGAAGGGAAAGGGAACCAAGCTACTAATACTTAAAACTGGATCAGGAGTACAGCTCAAGGTGGGGGGTTAAGCCTTCAGCCCTGTGCCATTTTTCCAATCTGAACTGGGAAATTTGCCATTGATTTTTTAAAGAAAACACTGGGTGTTCTGTTCATGGAACTCCCAGGGCCACAATGTACTTGAGGCCTTAGACTGAACATTAGGAAGACCATTCTAACTCTTAGAATAATCCTTTATTGGACCAAATTGTCTAAATGGAGCAGTGATACTCAAACATTGGACTCCTTCCCTACAGAAACTTTCCTGGTGCCAAGTGGGTAGCCATGATATTTGAAGTAGAAGAGCATGATCGGAGTGCAGTAGCACCTTAAAAGAATCTTCAAAAAGATGCTTAGGTGTAAGGATGTATTGCTGGCAACCAAGATCAAGTTAATTCATGCCATATAGTTCCCTATTACTATATATGGATGTGAAAGTTGGAAAATGAAGAAAGCTGGCAGGAAGAGAGTAGATTTCTTTGAAATGTGGTGTTGGAGAACAGTTTTCTGGATACCACAGACCTAGGGTTGCCATTCCCCCGGTGGTGGAGGGAGTTACCCGCTTTCAGGGGCCCCAACCCGCTGCCACGGAGCCAGCTGGTGGGGGGAACCCTGCCCCCAAAGAGTCCCATCTGCGCCAACGTGCCTGGTGCAATGACGTCCCCCAGAGGTGACATCATCGTGCAGGGCACGTTGCGGGGGGATGCTCTAGTGTATGAGAAAAAACTCTATGGTTACCATAGAATTTTCCCTCAAACGCTAGAGTGTCTCCTGCAACATGCCCTGTGCAATGACGTCACTTCAGGGTGATGGCATTGCAGTTTATGCGCAAAGCGCGTGTGCAGAAAAACTGCAGGGGATGAAGGAGGACCCCCCCTGCCGGCAGCCAGGTAAGACCTGGCAACCCTATGCAGACTGCCAAAAAGACAAATAAGTGGCCCCTAGACCAAATCAGGCCTGAATTCTCCCTAAAAGCTAAAATGATCAAACTTAGACTATTGTACTTTAGTCACATTATGAGAAGACAAGACTCGCTGGAAAGGATAATTAACGCTAGGAAAAGTTGAAGGCAGCAGGAAAAGAGGAAGACCCAACATGGGAGGGATTGACTCAATCGTGGAAGCCATGGCCCTCAGTTTGCAAGACCTGAGCAAGGCTGTTAATGATAGGCCATTTTGCAGGTCATTAATTCACAGGGTCGCCATATGTCAGAAATGACTTGAAGGCACTTAACACACACATGCTGCACCTTAAAGACCAACAGGATTTCCATGGTATCATCGTGGGTCAGCCAGGGCGAAGCGATAGCGAGGACTCCTCGGGAGAAGAGGACTCCTCAGGAGGAGAGGAGCCCTGTGTAGCCAGCTGTGAGTTAACAGGAAAAGCTAACCAGCAGGAAAATGAGCTGCAGGCTTGTCAGGATTCACAGCCAACAGCTGATGTAGAGTCACTGACACCCTTCAGCCCTGATTCAGCAAGTGAACCTCAGTTGGCCATTCCCAGCCCATCCGTATCACTCACACCCTTAGAGTGCCACAGACAGAGGCTGAGAACACAGCAACAGACATGACGGCAAAGTGCATGCCCGACACCGGCTGCTTGCTGATAACAAAGATGAGTAGTTGCAGGATTGCTTCTGAGCAGCTGGCTGCAAGCATGACCCTTGGGCATGGGGCTATAAAGGACAGCCAGGAGAAGCTGTTAGGCATGGACGCAAGGTGTACAATAGATGCTAAGCCTGACCTCTGCTTTGCCTGACTTCTGGACCTCTGACCCTGGACTGAACAACCCTGCCTTGTCTGACTTCTGGCACCTGATATACTCAGAGCCTGCAAGCTAGTACAGGCATAAGCTATCAAGCATCAAAGCTGCCTTCATATCTGATGAAGAAGCTTTGACTTGTGAAAGTTTCTATTCTGGAAATCTTGTTGGTCTTTAAGATGCTACCGGACTCTAATTTTGCCTGGTGCTGAATTTACTAGCTTTTATGCACCAGGTGAAGATACTTTTACTTTCCCAGGCCTTTTTTAAGGTGAGGCAAGCAGGCCTTTGATATATTTACCCCCCCCCTTTCTCAAGAGCAGGAAAAAATGTGTTCATCTCTTGCCCCAGTTACTGTGATTGACTCATCTACCATGAAACTGAAAAGTTCTCCCAGCCTAGAGCTTCGTCTAACTCTGCAAATAGCCCTCCTGTGACCATGGGAGATTGTGCGGAAAACTACATAAAGCGCTGGGGATGAACAAAGGGATCTTGACAAATTGTACCTTCAGGATATAAAGTGGCCGTTTTTCATAGGAAGTCCCAATGTGTATTTTTTGGAGAATACTGCCATTTTTTGCAACTACATGATCCATCCAGTGGTATATCTAAAAATAATAAAGTGCTTCTGTCAGTATTTACAAATTCAGTTTTAGTGATGTTGAGTCCGAGTCAAAAACTGCATTGACACAAATAGTTTTGGAAGTAGTAAACATTCGGGCAAGTTGATCATGCTATCGCATGCCAGTGGAATGGAATAATAATCAGGGGTCATTTCCTGCAGGAGCGCACAGGAGCGGAGCTCCGGCAGTAAAGCGCCCAGGGGGCGGGCACATGCAACAAGCCCCACCCCCTGCTCCCAGCAGCCCTCAGTCAGAGCAAGAAGCAGCCAGGTAAGTTGCAGAGCCCTCCCCCTGACCCCCCCCAGTCCAAAACAGTCCAGTGGCACCTTAAGTTTTATTCAGGTACAAGCTCTCCCTCCTCTGCGAGGGCAGATCTGCACGAACCCCCCCCCCAATAGCTAGCAATCCAAAACAGTTCAGTGGTGCCTTCTGAAACACTTCCAGTGATGTCAGGGGGTGTGGCATTCATTCATTCAACAAGTGAACTCCATGTGTTTCAACCATCAAGTGTCCTTGCTGTGATGTGACCTTGTTGAAAACTGGAAGCGACGGAGGTTGTCAGCCAACTTATCTTGTGCTTCCACAAGGCTCACAAACACAACTCCAACAGGCCGGCTATAATGCCTGTTTCACACAGGCTTCTTTGTGGGAAATTGTGAAATACAAGCTTCAAAGATTCATCCAATTAAGGGTGGGCGGACAATCCTATGTTTCCAAAACAGCAATAATCGGCAAAAGTTTTCTTGTCAGTATGGCAGTGTGACGGTTATTGCTGCTTTGGAAACATAGGATTGACCACCCGCCCTTAATTGGATGAATCTTGTATTTCACGATTTCCCACGAAGAAGCCTGTGTGAAACAGGCATTATAGCTGGCCTGTTGGAGTCGTGTTTGTGAGCCTTGTGGAAGCACAGAACGGAAGATAAGTTGGCTGACAACCTCTGTCGCTTCCAGTCTTCAACAAGTTCACATCACAGCAAGGACACTTGACAGGTTGAAATACATGGAGTTCATTTGTTGAATGAATGAATGCGACTGTATTCAGCAGTTTATAGAGACTGTTGAATTTTGATACAGAGAAACTGAGATATCTATTGCATTACATAAATTTAGTTGTTTATATAATTTGCAATTTTCGTCATTTTGCACAGTGTGTATACTTAGTTTGACCACCTGGATGTTGGCGACCCTGTGCTGCAGTGTGGTGGCAGTGTGGCAAGGAGACAATTGGTGTACCGACAGTGATTGTCACTGAGGGCCAAACTAGATGTTATGGCATCCATTGGTCCATTTCAACAGCACTTGAAAACACAAGGGGGGGAGGGGAACACAAGATCGTCTGGTCCCGCCACATCACTGGCCTGCTCAGGACTGGGCCCTCACAACATTTTTAAATGGCTGGATTCCTCTCTCCAATGGTCTATGCTTGGCCCTGAGGCTGCTAAACCACAGAACCCCAAAGCCACTAATATGATTAGTGGGCTTCACCTCTTCTAATAGTGGCCCTGTATGAAATTTCCCTGCAAATCAAACACCTAGTCTATACCTGTACTTGGTGACCATTTTTGCTCGGTTCTTGAGGCCTGGCTAGAAGTTATCCCTAGAGTTTAAATTTAGGATTATCTGCTGGAATTTGCCACCAGCTTTTGGAAAAGGCTGGGAATAAATAAATCAATAAAAATATCTTACTTCTTTCAGAGAATGGTATTGTTCATAGTAGGACACAGAAGCACGAGGGATACCTGTGTCATTGACAGTTTGCGTCTGAACAAGCCCACGGACATCTTCTAGCAAAACTCTGAGCAAAAAACAAAGAACAAAAAGTTTAAGGGATTTGAAAGATCTTTCTTTTTTTAGTTCCGTCCCATAGGTAGTAGGAATTAAAGAATTATACCTGTATTGAATGGTATAGAGGTTTAGTTGGGCTTTCACGTCCCTTACATCAGATACATTTACGTAGAAGTGGACTTGTTCATCCTTCATTATGTTCATGGGCGAAGGAGGTTGCCAAAGAACAATCTATCATATTTTTTAAAAAGTGGAGGGGAGAGAAAATAAAATTTGGCTAATAAGCATGTCACAATGTAAATAGTAACAAGTAGATTCACATCACAGAGCTTTATTTCTACAGTTTTATTCCAGGCTGTGTTCAAATGAAACATTCTGAAACGTTATTCAACGAACAAGATTTTATTTTAGCATAAGAATACAATGGGCCGAGAGCTCATGTCATCAGACACATGTAGTGGGTTCTCAGTAGGCAGGCATAGCTCTAGGCCTAGATTATTCTCATGCGAAAATAAAATCTTGTTCGCATCTTGTTATATATAAATGAGGTTATGAAAAAATAAATAAATAGCAGGGTCAAAGGGACAGGAAATCCTGGAGAGGCATGGTGAAATATGTAAAACTGAAGTGTAACTATGCAAGGTACAGAGACCATGTGTGATAGAAGTAAAGAACTCCTGGAGTCTGATGAGAATGCTGCAAATTCTCTGTCAGGTGAGAACCTACTCCTATTCTCCAGTTTTCTGAGAAGACGGAACAGTTTTTCAAGTCTATAGTCCAGACATGTCCTTATTTCGAAGCTACAGAGATATTCTGTTTTTCAAGCACTCATACCATTTCCCCTACCAATTCCCCCCCCCCCCCGCCCTTGGAAACTGCTTGTGCATTCATTCCTGTTGTAGAATGGAGAGGCCCACATCTCCCGAACACTGGACATTTGATGAGATATTTATAAGATGTCATTACCTTAAAAGTGTTAGTCAAATTCTGGAGGACCTCAACTTCTCTATCTGTTTGTGGAAGAAAAAAAGAAGAGCGGACAAAACCTGGTCCCTGCGAAAGGGAAGAAAAGTGAACCCTCGATAGTACGAAAACATTGAACTACTGAGGGCAAGTGCGGAAAATACTTTCACTGTAGCTCTTCTCAGTTGTGATAAGGTCACCAGGTTCTTTCTCAGGGTCAGAAATGGATGCTGATGGAAGAAGAAAGCCAGGAAAATCTAACATCTTTGCAGTCCTCCGAGTGGGGTTGCCAGTCTCCAAGTGAGACTGTAACCTGCCCTGATCCCACTTGCAGGGAGGACGGGATAGAAATTGAATAACAACAACAACAACAACTAACAATACAAGGTCTATAGTGCACCTATAGGGGCCATGGTGGCTCAGAGGTTAAGCTGCTGAGCTGCAGACCAGAAGGTCAGTAGCTTGGCTGTTCGAGAGCCGAGTGTGCTGCATGACGGTGTGAGCTCCCGTCTCTAGTTCCAGCTCCTGCCAACCTAGCAGTTCGAAAGCAAGAAATTGCAAGTAGATAAATAGGTACCACTTCGGTGGGAAGGTAACAGTGTTCCATGCGCCTCGACGTTTAGTCATGCCGGCCACATGATCATGGAAAAGTCTTCGGACAGTGCTGGCTCTTCGGCTTGGAAACAGAGATGAGCACCGCCCCCCCTAGAGTCGGATTCAACTCACTTTCGAGCAAGGGAAACCTTTACCTGTAGTACAACTACTTGAAGAAGATCAGAAGAACAGCCTATAGTGGACAGCTGAAGGACTGCTAGTTAGCACAGCTAGATTAGGGACTTTCCACAATTTCAAAATTATGTCCTTCCTGTGTAATGTTTGAACAAAGCCCACTGGAAGACACACACACAAAAAAAAGGGTTTGCAGAAGCATACACTTTATGCCTGACCCCCCCCCCCAAGGTATTTTTAATCCACATAACCGCAGGTCCCCCACCTCTTTTAGATACATGAGTGTACAACTAGTTTGAAAAGCAGTATGTTTACATAGATATCAGTATTATGTTCAGTTCAGGTACACTTTGCAGTATCCTTGGTTCAGGTACCCTTTGCAGTACCCAGGTACCCTTGGTTCAGCTACCCTTTCATACAGTGCAAAGCTTCCCCCCCCCTCTCTCTCTCTCTCTCACACACACACACATATGCTAGAAAATAAGTGCCTACCTTTCAAAAGCAGAGACATACTGCCTTTGAATGAAGACAGATACTATACCGATTACAAGGGGAAACTTCATTACCGCTGCCATTTGCAATGAAATCGAGTGAGACAACAGTGACGGTTCAG